CTCGAAGATCTTCATGAAGGCGAGGGGCTCCTTGCCCTGGTAGATCCGCTCGACTTCGGGCTTGGGGCTGCCGCTCCGCAGGATCTTCTCCTCGAGCAGCGGCTGGAGGCCCAGCACGAACATCGGGAACCGCAGCGACGACGCGTCCTTGCCCTCCCAGAAGTAGACGCGCCACTTGGGCTTGTCTCCTGTGGTCGACAGACACAGCGACTCAGCACCACATGCCTGACCGCACACCCGACCGCACGCGCACGACCACACACGCCGCACACGCCGCACACACGCGAACCTTCGCCTTGAGGAGCGGGACGCGGCTTGTAGGTCTCGAGAATGAAGTAGCACTCGGCGGAGAAGAAGAGGCCCTGCTCGGCCTCGTTGATCTTGATGAAGGTCTTGCCACCCGTGAGGATGCCCACCTCCACAGCCACGAGCTCGTCATCGACCGCCGGCCCTCCGGAAGTTCCCACGCCGGCCTGGCTTGCTGTCGCCTATTTTTTTAAAAAATTAAATATTTAGGTAAAAACAGGAATTTAGATATTTGATGATAAAATGATAATTTATAAAAAAGAATGCAAAAGAATGTAAAGAAAGAATGCGACGTACGTCGGCGGCCTTGGGTTCGCGGATGGGGAAGAGGGTGGCGACGTCGAGCGTGGGGAGGGAGGAGCGGTCGTCGGCCGAACCGAACTTCTTGGCGCGCTCGCGGATTCCGTCCAGTATCCGCTCGTGCGCGCCGCGGAAGTCCACCACCGGCCGCTTGCACGCATTCTTCGATCTTTGTTACGCGCGAATTAGAACAATGACCAAAATGAAACAAAACCTTGCCTTGATGGTGGCGGCTACGCACTTGCCCTTGGGCTGGTCGTCCTCAACCCACTTGTCGAAGCGCGCCTTGAAGAGCACCGGCTCCGAGCGCTCCTTGATCTGTCGCCGCCAATCGGTAAGCACCACACAAAACAAACGCACACAACGTCCAACAACACACACAACAGAGGAGGAGACCTGTTCGACGGTGGCCCAGGCGGGACGCCGCACGGCTCCAGGGTCGGTGTCGGTGCGCATGTTCTCGGCCAGGTGGGCTCCAATCTGCTGCGCCAGCGGCGACGACTTGGCGCCCATGTACACAAATATCTCACTGTACAGCGAGCCACGTCAGTGATTGAAAAATATCACAATGCACGCGCGTTTCATCATTTTTGTGGCAGCGGTGGCGGTACCTGACGCAGTCAAAGATGAAGACGCGCTCGGGATCGGCGAGTAGGCTGCGCGCGGGCTTGGGCGTGTCGGGTCCCTGCTTCCACTTGGAGACCACGTTCATCTCTCCCAGCTCGCCTGCGCCATCACACACAACCCCGACGGCCGATCAGCCACGCACACGACAAACACGACACACACACACACGACACACACACACACACTGGCGCGAGATGGTTGAGGCGCTGGGTACCGGCAAGGCAGAGGATCTCCATGGCGTCGTCCCTGAGTTCCTCGGTCTCGCCCTCGTTGACGTGCCAGTCGCCGGTGATCAGCGGCCCGTGTCCCTCGTTGGCCTTGCGCTTGGCGGCCTGCATCCGCTGCGCCTGCTCGGCCGCGTAGTCCGCGCCCACGTGCTTCGCGTCGAGCGCGTCCACCCGCTGCTCGAGCCTCTTCAGCAGATCGAACAGGGCGTCGTGCCGCGCGAACAATCTCTCCTTTTCCTTTTTCGTTCTGTTGAAAATCAAAAAAAAAGTAGTTTAATAAATAAACAAATAAAAGAAAGTAATTAAAACAATAAAATGAAATGGCGTACACGAAGGGCTTCTTGGGCGGGAAATGGCTCCAGAACTGGGAGCCGAGATCAAAGTTGCCGTCCTCGTCCCGCTTGATTATCTCGATGGTCGCCTGTAGGGAAATGTGAGCCACGGCGCGGCACACACGGCCCATACGACGATACAATACCTGGCTCTTGCGGTCGTGCGTGTTGATGAGGTTGGCGAGGTCGCTGCACTCGTACTGAAGGCGCGTGCTGGCCTTCTCACCGTTGTACTGATACAGCTTCATGCCACCTGGCACCCAACAGCACATCATCCACCGTCTTCATAAGCGCGTGTGTGACTGTGTGTGTTGTATTTGGTTTCGCGAGTGCGCCGTACCGGTGTCGAGAAGGAAGACTTCGTTGTAGTCCAGGGCCTCAAGCTCCAGGTGGACCCTCTGTATGCAGCGTGCGCCGTTCCTTGTGGGTGGAGCACATAATGGTGAGTCACACGGAAAAGGAACGTGAAGGAACGTGAAGGAACGTGAAGGAATGCTGGGGAACGTGTACTTGAAGTAGAAGCGATAGAGGCGCGGTACGTCGTACTCGACGCCCACCTTGGGCGCCTTTCGGAACGCCGTCTCCGTCCCGCCCTCCAAATAAACCAATCCCTCTGTCGGCACACACACAACACCGCAGTGAGTATCACCCAGTTTTTGTTTCGCGTTCGCTTTCGCTTTCGCGTTCGCGTTCGCGTTCGCTTTCGTTTTCGTTTTGTTGAGGAAGGTACCTGCTTTGGCGGCTTGGATGTAGTCCTGGTAGTAGGAGACGAAGAGCGAAGACTCCTCACCCTGTACCTCGTGCACGTGCTTGGCACGGCCGCCGATGAACGAATTGAGCTGCACCGCCCTGAAGCACACGCTACCTGTCATAAGACACACCAACCGCACGCGCACACACGCACGCCAGCTCAATGTTAATTTTGTTCCGGCGGACTCAGTGTGCCGTACCAGTCTTGTCGACCGAGGCCTCGGAACCGATCCAGTAGTGGAGGGCGTAGTTCATGCTCGCGCTGCTGATCTCCTGCTTGGGGTCGGCGCTCGCCTTGCCCGCCGCGTCGACCTTCTCTTCCGACGTCACCTTGAGCACGAGGTAGCAGTCGCGCTTGTGGAACATGTGGGGCGCGTGCCCCGCCGCGTCGTTGCTGATCAGCACCGGGCGCAAGTTTTCGATGCGCCAGCGATAGATGCCCTTGACGCGCTCGAGCCGGGCCAGCGCGATGCCAAAGATGTCCTCGTAGTCCTCGCTCTGTGCCAACATCGTCACGCCCTTGTCGTCACCGGCCGGAGGCGGAGGTGGCGGTGGCGGCAGCGCGGGCGCGGGTGGCGCCTCGGGGACCACCGGCGTCTGCTTGGCCGTCTGCTTGGCCTCCGCCGCTACCGACGTCGCCTCGTCCGCGGCCTTGGCCTTGGCCTCGCGCTCCTCCTCTTCGCGCTTCTCGAGCTGGCGCTTCTTCATGGCGGCGACGATGACGTTGGCCTGCTTCTCGAGCTTGAACAGATCGGTGTCGCGCACTGACATGGTGCGTGTGAGGCGCTCGCTGCGCTTGATTTCGCTCTTGTGCGAGCCGAGCGTGATCATGATCTCCTCGGGGTTGGATTCCTTCTCCTCAGGTCGCTCGCGTCTGTGTAAAGTATGTCATCAGTCGTGTGCGGTCGTGTGCGGTCGTGTGTGCGTGCGGTCGTATGTGTGTGCGCGTGCGCGTGCGATGGGAAAGAGTACCCGGGGCTTGCGAGGAAGGTCGGGGCGCGTCGCTTGAGCGTGGCGAAGCCAGAAGGGTCGCGGAAGCTCTGCGAGCGGAGGGCGGCCAGGTTGAGCCGCAGCGTACCCGTTCCCTGCCGCGAGGCGCCCTTCCATTCCTTCGCCGCTGCACCCCGACACACAACGACACACGCGACCGAATATGATAAGCAACACGACACACGGCACGGCGCATGACACACGCACGCATTCCACCACAAAAAAAGGAGCGTACGTCGTGCGACAGCAGCCTGCGCGGCGTTCGGCATAGGCGCCAAACCGCGAACCGGCCTCTGTGCTCTCTGAGGCCTGGTGCAGTGGGTTAGAGTGTCAGGGTTCCTACGTTGGCAGTATAGGTCACGGGCAAGCTTGGGCACGCACCTGCCCTCGCGAGCAGCCGCCAACGAAGCCATGCGCATGGTACGCGCTTGTTCGTGGGTGAGCCTTGGCTGCTGCTGAGGCTGCTGAGGCGGCGGCTGCTTGGTCGGGGCACCGGCAGGCGAGGTTGAGCCGGCCTTCGGCGCCGCTTGTGTGGTAGTGGTGGCAAGCTTCCGCGCGGCAGCGGCTGAAGTGGATTCCCAAGAAAAAGTGAGCAAAACATACACGTGCACGACACACGCTACACGACACACGCGCACACGACACACGCGCACACGACGACACGCACGGCACACACCTTTGTCCTCTTCGGCAAAGTAAGAGAATTCGTCATCGCGCAGGGCAGCCTTCATCTGCTGCGGCGAAATGGGAGCCAGCAGCGACTTGCGGCGATCGGCGGCGCTAGCGCCAGCGCCACTGGGCGTGGCCGTTGCGGCAGCGCTGCCCGCTGACATCGACGCCGCACGCAGCCTACCACCCTCGCCCGCCGGTGCCTCGCCTGCGGCGCCGGCCGGGCGCCACGCCGGCGTCGGTGACGTGCCGGCGCTGGCCGGCTGCTGCTGCGGGGAGTGCTCGGTGGTGGGCGCGCTGAGCGACGTGGGCGGCAGCGGACCCTCGGCCGACAGCCGGTGGGCGGTCATGGACGGGAGCGCGTGTGGCGTGAGCGGCACACGCAGCACGGGCACGTTGGAGCGCGTGCTGTAGGCCGCGCCCAGGATGTGGCCCGCGCCGCCGGCAGCGGTCGGGCGTGGCGGCACGGCGATGGGGCCGTGCGGGCTCGGCGTGGGCCGCAGCGGCTGGTTCAGCTTGAGCGCGGGCACGCCTGAGGCCAGGGGCGTGGGCGAGGCGGCGGGCTTGGTTGGCGAAGCAGTTGTGGAAGACGACGGAGACGAGGTTGGAGCGGCTTTGCTCTTCGCTTCCTTGGCCTCCTTCTTCATGAGCTTCTTCTTCTCTTTCTCCATCTTGTCCTTGTCGAGCGAGTCGCTCCCCGACTTCTTGTCACGCCGCTTGAACATCTTGGCGCGAGGTAGCGAGTTGATGTCGGATTTATATTACAAATAAATAAATAAATAAATGCCAGACGTTCGATTAAGGACCTGAGGTCTGCAGGTGATACTCGGATCTAATCTTCAACTTCAAGTTGCACCTTCACAAAAAAAGAAAGAGCCCCCGTTTCCCCACACGAGAGGTCGAGGCCACAATTTTTCACGCTCGTCGACCCGCATCTGAGCAATTGGCATTCGCTCTCGGCTCAATTCGAAGCGCAATCTCTGTTCGTGCACTTCCTGATAAGATGGAGAAGCGTGATGTGTGGGAGCGCCTGAAGTGGAACGGCTGGGGCGAGAAGGGCGTGCAGTACGAGCTCAATCAGAACGGCAATGTCGAACATTCGCGTACCGGTGTCGAATTGCCGAAGATCATCCCCTTCGCGAAGGACATCTTTGGTCTGGATGACCTCGAGAACACGCCCTCGGTGGAGCTCGACGACATCGAACTCGCCGAACCCAGGCCCAACGAGGGATTCGTGAGCCTCCTGAAATCCTTCCTTTCTGCGAGCCAAATCTCGTTCGATAAGGAGCAGCGCATCTGCCATGCCTACGGAATGAGCTTCAGGGACCTCTGGCGCCTGCGCAAGGGTTCGTCCTCTCGCAATCAATTCATTCCAATTGTTCAATTTACTCACTTTATTTTTTATTTTTGGATCATCTACTTTTCAATTAATTACTGCTGCGTTCATCCACATAGGTGTTATCACGGATGCGCCCGACT